CCACAGAAAACTAGATTATGATGCATCAAACGTCTCAGTGGAGATGTAATATTGTTATTTTGAAATGTCAGTAGCCAGGCGTGACCGGTTCACGGACGATTGGCTACTGAGCCGAAAATGTCCGGAGGTTGAGAGACTGAGTGACTCACACCTCACACTTACTTGATATCCTCGCTTTGTTAGGAAGGACAAGGTTGTTATCACTTTCTTTGATAATTGTGGAGTTATTTGTGCATTGTTAATTGTTACAAGGTATGAGAAACTTAGAGTATCAAGATACACTATGTAGAATATGCACGCGAAATTATTTCTAACGAAGCACAAACAAACTTATTGACTATCAAAAGGTATAGTCATGCCTACAGAAAACCTTTTTATTATAAATGGGGTGGTGTTTGACCTCTAACCTTCTGAGAGTGTGTGGGTGTGTGATGTGACCTTCACAATTTTTCCAAATTTGTTATAAATATGATATTTTAATTCATATAGGAATTTAGTATGTAGTATATTATTTGATGATCTCGTTAATGAGGATCCGCTACATAAATAAATACCAGTATCTCAATTTATTGAACTGGATGCATGAATTTTACAATCATTTTTTTTTTAAAGCCTTGCTCCACAAGGGTTTTATTCTGTGTCGTGGGTTCTTTTATAAACATGCAAGTTTACATACATATGACACCCAGACCCGAAACAACAATTTATATTCATTTATATTTTATACATAAAGAGTTGCTCTGTGTGGGAATCGAACCAGCTAAATGTTCGCGCATGCCCAGCCACAACACCAACCTTGCAGTGAATATTATTGGGATAGGTTCTATATAACAGCATTGAGTGTGATTTATATGATATAGTTAGTACAAGGCTGATAAGTGATAACAATGAGGTCTTCTTTCCCTTAAAGGCTAACAATGCATTCGTAACACCTCTGGTGTTGCGGGTAATCGCTTAAGATCAGGTGATTAAATCTTTAAAATATTTCTTCCAATCTTTGAGATAAGTAAGAGATGTTATCTTAAGAACAATTAATGATTATTAGGCCTCATCGATGATGATGATTTTGCTTGATAAAATATATAAACTCAGCAACGATCTTTATTGGTGTGCAATTAAAGGATAAGTTGCGTATCGTTACCACTTATTAAAAGTAAGAAGTTAGTCATAATTTTTTTCTTTTTTTATATTGTCAAAAATCAAGGTTATATATAATCTTGTAAGGAAATATGTATGTTCATAACATTGTATGATATGTGTCTGTGCGTCACACTCAGGTGAGCAATTTTTTGAATTTTGTTTTTTTTTTGTTAATACTTGATTTTGTATGGGCAGTCAAAAGTGAAATATATAGATAAGGTTTAGGGTACTGTAATAATTTCGAAGATACATTGTAATAATAATAGACTATTTACATAAAATGTATTTGTTTCAGTTATCACGAATGCAATGCTATAGTTTACATCATTTTTATGCAGTTTAGTTTATCATGTTTCAAATTTTAACTTAGATAGCTATATACATAATATAAAACATGGTATGTATGTCTTTCATTTGTAATCTATCATGTTTTGTAAGATGTCTTCGGGGATAGAAGGCGTGGTGTTATGTTATGTTAAATATAAAGCACCAGCAGCCCGTCCCGGCTTCACACGGGGTAGACAATTATTTATTTTTGGAAATTTGGATTGTTGTAGTGACATAACTACAATAGTTGGACATATGCTACCGCGGAGTTTTTGTAGACATTATGATGTTCTTCAATATTGTCGTACATTATTTTGTTCTATTGCTAATAGTTTCGGCAGCGCATTCGACGAAAGACATTTTAAGACTCATTTTTCTATACCTTCGGTAACATTGTTCAAATTTTACCAAGGATCCCTAATTTTTTTCAAAATAAAATGTAGCCTATGTCAAATTGGAAGAATGTAGCATTCTATTGGTGAAAGAATTTTTTAAATCGGCCCAATACTTTTTGAGCCTATTCATTACAAACATACAAAAATAGGTACAAATCTTTCCTCTTTATAATATTAGTATAGATGATTACAAATACATTACTAATAGAAAATTAATAAGATACTTAATCGTATTCTCCAATGGAACAAGCACAACAATGTTTACATTACAAACTCTCAATTGCGTTAATATTCAGAACTTTAGCGTATGCATCTTATGATCTATCTAAATGAATACAGATCCGATATACACACCACAGTACACGGCTAAGTAATGGCTTATAAGGAGAGATTGGAATATAAATGTCGGACTTGACCTACTGGCATTATAGTATCAGTCTACTATCTGCAAGAACATACTATTGTTTTAATTTAATTTTATCTGCAGACACTATTGTTGTTATAGTGCATTCAGAAGTAGTGGTTATTTTGGTGCCCTATTTGTTATAATGAGAACATTCTATGTGCAATTTGTTGTGCTAGTCGTGCTTATGTGTGTGAGTGAGGTTACACATTTATAATAGTTCCTCTGGTATTGCGGCTCCCCTTAGGCGGCGCTAGTTGCTTGCTGTTCGATCTAGTAATCTGTCTGCTCGTTTACCGCCTTAGAATATAAAAAAGTATTCATACTATTGACTTTTGGAATTTGTCGGTCGCAGTTTTATCTGTAATGACGTTGTTATGGAATTACTATAATATTATTGTCTATATGAAATGCAAATCAATTTAACCCTTTGGATTATTATTAAGAAGCATGTCAATATCAATATAAGTAATATTCATGTTTGTTCAAATCCATTATGATAGGTGTATAACGTGTTTTAACTTAATTTCAGCAGATTAAAATATTAAATTCATGGTGCCACCCATCCGTCATGATATATGGTGAAATAATTGATAGATGGATTTAAACTCATCGATAAGATTATCAAGTAAGAGTCTATCATTGTGCTAAATATATTAATGGATTGAAGATAATCCGTATCTAAATCCATGTATTTATATACCTAATAAAGAGTTAAAAGTATTTATGTTTCAAAGTAAACATTATCCACATGGAATCAAACTGATTAAACATTTCATAAGCAGATACATTTATTACCTTCCTTAAATTTAAAGCAATTTTCCTTGCAATTTATTTCCTCAAAGGAAAATATGAAGGTTTCCATTCATGGCTACTATCTTATACTTACATATTAAATGTTATCCTTTTTGTTTAACGAATTTATACTGAGATTGAGTCTATACGAGTTCCTTCATCGTACTCATAAGTTAGTACAATATTCCACGAGGCTACGGTTATAAAAAAATTAGTTGACTACCATATACCCGCAGGCGAGGCATGACGCCGGTGACCTTACGCAATTCCGGGTGTTGGTGTCTGGGGTACACAGTGCAAGCTTCCGTTCTCTTCTGCAGTGCTAGTACTTGAACTCGTTATCTTCATACTTTTGACAATATTACGTTTCCTACTTTGTTCATTATTTAAATGTAGAAATATTAAAGAGCTAAAGCATACATTCAATAATATTATGTGCTCTCCCTTCCCTATTTTAGTAGTTACCTATGAGAAAACCGACTGACCCTTTTTACGCCGGTCAGTCTTTAGATTTCCCAATACAATCACTAACCTCAGTTATTTTCTATACAATAGGTAAACATCGTGAGAAACACACACCCAAACATACAATACGTACTAAATGATTCTAAACATAATAATAACAGGTATTGGTCGGTATCTCAGATCAGTTAGGCAAGCTCAACGTCAGTGAACGTGAAGCCAAGAGCCGATTGCGCACGAAGACGCCATTTGTAAGTTTTGCAACGGAGTCACGGAAACGCCCGAGACGAGGATCTTCGGAACTCGAAATTTGAAAATCGAAGGCCTTCCCCGAACAATACCTCGGAGTAATAAACTTCTGATGAGTTATGTTCTATTGGTTGACAGAATACCGGGCAATCGATATATTAGTACTTGAAACAAACTTTATCTTAAAATTAAAACGTTCTTGTTTTTCCTTTCTATAGGCCGCGTAAATATTTACTTAGTTTCTTTGACCTAACCTAACAATGATACTAGCATACCGGTTATCGTACTAGCAAAGATCAGTTGTTCCTAATTACAGCCGGGATTGCTTAACTCGACTGGTTTGGTAGTTGTGCAATCTCTTGCCATTTCTGTGAGCCTGGTACTTTGGATCATGAGTACCAGTGTGTCGTGTTCAATTAGGAAGAACGACTTCTTTATATTTTGCCGCCTTACCTGAATGATATTGTTTGAAGAATATAAATAGTATTAAAGGTTAAGTAGTTTCAAGAAATGTCAGTTTTTCTAATTCTGCTTATGGTCTAGTAGTAGAAAAGCCGTGGTCCTTTGTTTGATTCATTATTAACTTATTACTATTAGTATCGGTCACATACACGCAGGTTTCAGTGTAAAAGCATGTGATTATACACAATCTACACATTTATCTAGACCCATAAATGTCTACTAATGCAGCAGGATATCTTTATAAAAAAATAATGACCATAACCATAACTCAATGTCGTCGACCAGCGATCACGTGAAAAATAGTTCAGTCACCTTTCATGTCCACCCCTTTGTCTGTTAAAGCCTTTACCAAAACATAGTACTGTATTATACTACTTATAACAAAGGTCGTAGTGGTTAAATTCCAATTTAAGCTACACAAACGATCATCCATTTTCACATGAGCTACGATTATTTGAACCTGTCGAAGGTATGTGGGTCAATTCGTATTGGGAAATATAGGGTGGATGTCCCGATTGCTGACTCTTTGACACGCGATCATCAAATGAGGTGCTAGTAACCACTGTTTGGTAAAGGCATGTGATGTATTTATTATTGTGTTTGCACCATTTTTTATGAACCTTGTTGTACAGTAGGTAAATTAAGGTTAAGCACCTGTGAAGGCAATTTGTGATTTGTTCTGTTGAGTGTTTTGGCTACGAAACAAAAAATAACATAAAATGTTTATGTAGTTTTTCGTTCCCTAATATTGTTTCTTTTTGTTTCAGAATGCGCGTGTTGGATGGCTAGATTAGACAAAAGGTAGGATTTTATTATCAGTTTATTTTGGTACATACCTACTCGTACATATAGAGGAAGTTGTTCTTGAATAAGTATAGAGTATATGTTGAACAACAGACACTAGGAGGTGAGCGATAACAACGAAAACTTTTATCAATTTTGCAACGTCATTTAGTTTATATAAAAATACAGTAGATATACATAAACGGAATCATCAACATCATTCTACTGAGAATAAGACAATTCCTAATCACTAAGGAATTCTCATATTCAGATCTCTGGGGATGTAGCCAACTGAAGAATAATACTGCTTACAAGATTGAAGACAGAGCGTTCAATGCTGAACAAATACCTCCTATTAAGTTATGATAATCTTATCTACTTTATTAGATAGCTTGGGGTTCATTTCAGTCATAGAAAATTGTAGGAAGACTGACTAGTGCTGGTTTGGTACCCGTATTTAGGAGATGAGTCACTGTATTTGGACTATAGTACCTTGCATTGAATCAGCTTGATACAGCATCATGTGACATTTCATCGTATGCTACATATCGTGCGGCGAGGAATGGCTGCACTAGAGAAAGCGTAAAGCGGCTCGCTGGACCGAGACCCACGCTCTGCTCATCACACGACAGGGCTGTCGCTGCCGATATCTGATTTATTGCTGTGCATCTTCCTTGTTCAGATAATTTGTAATTTGTGTACGGAACACACGCACGGTGGTGTGACAGTAGGCTGATATTTTCAAGAGTTTGTCGCTAAATGTTGTGTCTTATTAAATCAAGCTTTTGTTAAACCCGAATCCGGGTATATCCTAAAACTGCAACGAGTTAGGCCGATCGTGAGGTCATGGCGATTATGGATCAACCCATTTTAAGAGTGAGACCTTTGTCCAGTCGTGGACGTCTTCTTGCTCACAAAGTGGACGTTGCCTTTAATTTTATAAAATATGAGCAATAGCAAGAATAAAGTAATGGAAATAATTTAATGTTGAACTAATATTGTTCCCTCCACCCCGAGCCAACCCTGTGCAAAGAAGTCGCAACGTATTCGTGAGCGATACTCGACTAGTTTACTATGTCCCGTGTTTTTCCAAATTATCCGCACTGTTACTAATGTGCAGCGTACAAACATGGAAAGAAGGTTTAGTCCATTATTATAATCGCCTAGTCAAGTATATTTGGGGGTCGTAGAATGGAACTTCTTAATGCTTACAACAAAATCACTCGAAATGGACTGCTCACGGAGGATGTCCGTAGTTCCTACAACAAGTCCGAGATAGGATAGAACAAGTCCGTCTCATCAGAATGGCTTCAGTTTATAATCAAACCTGCTTATAGCGGGACTAGGGCTTTGTTCAGCAGTCGATGTCTTCTGACTGATAATGAAGGTGTTGATGATGATAACGAATAACATAGATATTGTTAGTTAGTAAACATGTTTTGGTATAGAAATACGTACTAACAGGGATGTGTATGTATTTTCCTGAGATTTTTAACAAAAGTTAAATGCTGTGCACCTTTTGTATCGATTCTCTTGCGTCATTGTAATAATGTGTCTACGTCTATAGATACACGTCCATGAACAAACGCAATTCTGTTTGGTGTTCAATCGTAGTTCAGTTTGTCTGCAATTTATGTATCAGGGCAATGTATGGCTTATTTTATGGTCTATAGAAGTTTTCGATAGCAAATTGTTTCGTTGTCTTTGTTTGATTATTGTTAGGATATTATGTTAGGTAAGTGCATATTTTACT